GCGATATCGATCTCTATAATTTTTGTAGGAAAAGTGCTAAATTTAAATTTTTCAGTGTTTTCGTTTTCAATGAATATCTATAGAAAAATGTTTCGAGGTAGATGTATGTGGAAAATGTATATATTTAGTTTATCCTCTAAACATTTATAGAGGTGCTGCAATAGGTTGTACAAAATAATCGGAAAAAGCCTATAATAACTAGATAGGAAAGTCATGTGTTGGACACATCAGATTTTTTTCATTGTAGATATATACTACTGCATGCAGGTACATCTTCTGGATTTATTTTTGGATAAGGAAATGGAATTTTATAGCGAAATGTACAAAAGAACGGGAATCAAATCATTTAGTTTGTTAATTAATGTTCAAGAAATTCATGTTACTCCATTCGAAAAAATTCAAAAGTTAAAATTGAGAACTACGATTGATTAATTTCTTGGCAATCCGGTGTAATTAATTTCTATTTCTTTTGGCATTCCTTATACCAAAGGTTTATATTACATGTGTAAGAATGATTTTATTTTCTATACAAATTTAATAAGTTTTATTTTACGAAACACCCGGTTTTTTAAACGTACGAAATATTTGTCTCTCAAAACAGTTACAGCCTATGTTTATGTTAACACTATTAAGATACGGAGGTATCGGATTACGAATATGTGAACTAAGGGTAAAATATCAAACAGGCATAAAATACAGATAATTTTAAATTTGGGTTAGTTGCTTTACGGGACAAAATTAAAGTGCGTTTCAATAATAATAAACTAGTGAATAATTATAATTTTTGTGAGTGGCTGTTTGCTGAATAAGGTGAGTTTTTCTCACTGAGTAATTATGTTTTACCAATTAGTTTTGTTTTAATTTGTAATCAAGTTATTTTGCAAATTAGATTACCCAATTAGGCATTCCAACGACCTGTCCAAATGGACCGTATTCTTGAGTCGTAGGAACGGCGTTCCTATAGGAATAGAGGGCGTGTTTCTCCTGAAATTCGCTAAGCCCGTATTCTTGAAGTCATAGGAATGTTCACTTCCTACGAAAGTCGTAGGAACATCGTTCTACTGGTATTTCGTAGGAGAACGCCGTGTTCTCTCAAGAATTATTAGTAAACGCATGCGGGGTAGCCGATTTGTTATGTTTGACCCGTAATTAAGTAATTTGTTTAACTTTTTTCATATTCGTACATTTCGTATTTTTAATAAAATCATTATTGATAACAATAGAGTGAATAATTTATTAGCATAAGTAAAATATTATTTAATACCTCATCACAAAAATCAATTATTGTAATTCTAATAAGTGCATGGGTACCTACGTACCTACATATCTATTATTTGTATTCTGGGAATTGTGAGTTAGGGAAAATCCTAATAAATAAGGGTCGTACTATTTATTAGGTAGGTACCATTTAATCTATATTTATTGCCTAAAATGGGAAATAAAAATTATTGAAAAATCCCAAAATTGATATTAGGAAGTTTATAAATGATCTTCTACAACAAATATCTTTACTGAAAGCAAATTGTATGGTTTTGTTTTGCAAAAATAATTACAAAATTAGAAAAACACAAAGAATGATTGTTAAACATATCAACTCGATAGAAAAATTCTACATTACAAAATTATAAAAACACAAAGAATGATTGTTAAAAATGTTAATTTAATCCCATTAAACTGAGAAAGTGATATTTGAAAAGTTGAAATAAAGTATAAGTATTGACAATAATCTAGTTAAGCTACAGTTGGTTAAAGTAGGTAGTACGGAGGAAGGATAATTAAGAGTTACAGATTCCGTAGGTAGCAAACAAAAGTTATAAAAAAATTTTCGAAATAAATTATAACCATTTGTATAATAAGTTAGTTGAAAATATTTCAAATTTCTATGAGGCGGTCACTCCAGTTTATATAATTAGTCTAATCTATATAGTTGTAAACATATATGTATTCAATTTTCTTTACCGAATTTTTATTAATAAAATTATTTACTTGATACTAATACAAACTTACTTTTCTTTAGCACAAAATTTAAAACAAAATCGACTACCTATACTATAAATTTCCGGTTTGCAAATTTAATTTTTAATTAAGTATCTTAAAAAAGTGAAGAACTCTGTAATGGCTGTACGTTTTTGTTTTCCCTCTTCTATGCTTTTAATAAAATATATATATATATATATATATATATATATATATATATATATATATATATATATATATATATATAGATATATAGATATATATATATATATATATATATATATATATATATATATATATATATATATATATATATATATATATATTTATCATATTATAGAAAACTCCTACGAAAGAGGAATTCATAATTAATATTCTCCAAATATGTCAAATTCAATACGGATAGGTGACAATTTTAATATTTTCTTCTTTTATTATCACAAAATTATATCCAGTTAACAAAATATAGTTCAAATGTCTACAAAAATCAAGAAAAAGAAGATATTAGAGTTGCCAACACCGTGCACTTTATTCCTCAGTTTGATCACGTTCACCGAGTTTCGAGAATACGGCCAAACCACTTCGAGAGAAACGCTGTAGGATGTGATCGTTCACCTCTCCTATAGGAACGCTCACATCGTCCAAGCTCGAGAATCGACGCACAATGGGTAATGACAGTTTAGATATGGCAACCCTGTTGTCATTAACAGGGTCAATGATACATATATAGTTATACAGATTGCTCAAAGCTGGTCGTTTACGAGCGGCCATATTGCCTGGCAAATATTTATTAATTTGAATCGGTTTAGCAAAAATATGTTTTAAAACCAATTTTTAGCCTTTAGATATTAAAAAAAAATATTTGCTTACATTTTTACTTCAAGGCATACGCTTATGTTTATTTTGAAAAATATGGATAATCAATCTATGTAACTATCTATTTCATTGACCTTGTCAAATCACCAGGTCTACAGGGTTGCCATAATTTTGCAATATCATAACCAGTCAAAGCCCACTGGTAGGCAGTCAGTTTGGAATGCCTAATTATTATCCATCAACCTTTTATAGTTAATTTGTCAATTTTGGCGTAAAGATATTTTGTCAAGTATTGAGAAAACCTTATATTCTAAATTAACGGGGTTATATTAAATAATTAAAACTTATTTGAATTTGACTATTTACCTATATTTTGTTTTCCTCTACGTGGTGTAATCAAAAGTAAAGTGAGTTAGATTGTCTGTTCTGTCGTAGTACATTGCGTCAGTGCATACGTTTATTTTGGGTTTACTGTGGTCAGTTTTCCAGAGTCGTCGCACCATGGTTGGTGCATGCTAGTGACATTGCGATCAGTGCGCTAGTAATGGTGATTGGGCATTGCGGTCAGTGCCAACAGAATTGAGAATATAACTTTTGGTCAACTATGGAAAATTTAAAGTTGTGTCAATTATATTTTTTTATAATCAATATTTTAACATAAAGAGTTATCAGTATCATTTTCTTGTTAAATAAAAGGATAATAAGTATTTTATTTAAGGGTATCACCTTTTCATGACTTTATTTAATATAAAACTGCTTTTGGTAAACTTGATTGCTCATACTTGTTTTTCTTTTATTTCAGGTACGCCATCTCATACTTAAGTATTTTATTTTACTATTATTTTATTTACGTTTTATTGTTTCTAATCATTTAATATTTACTTCTCTAATTTTATTTTGTTCTAAATTTTACCGTTCAATTTAAAGTTATTAAATCGTTTATTGAATTAATTTCTAGTTTTTCCTGACATTGATTAAATAACTAAATATTACCGCCCAAGTTATAATAGATATTGATAAATTACAAATATCGTCCTATACTTGTGACGTCCATTATTTCTGAAAAATGGGTTAACAAAAGTTTTAGGCGTTTGCTTGACTCCTTTGCATTTAATTTTCTTAAAGTTAGCTGTTTGATTCGTAATTAATTTAAGACACCTCTCTATTGCAGTACTTGAGTTTTACCTGTAATTATCAAGGTGTTTTAAATTCTTTAGGTAGAGCTACTGATGATAATAAGGGAACAGAACATTTTCTTTTTCAGAGGAATTCGGTTAAAAATAGGATTGTTTTATTTGGAGAATTATGAAAATCAACTAGACCTAGGTACCTATTTGTATTTTTTAGCTTTTTAAATCCAATTAAAATTAGAAACATGTTAATTTTTATAATAAAACCATCAAAATCTTGGGAAAAAATGCGTTTGGGTATAGGGAATGCCAAACAAAATAAAAATAAAAAAATGATATATAAATTGGTGGTATAACATACAGGGTATTGCATTTGAAAAAATTGAGAATACAATATTCTTGCGTTTAGTCACAGAATGTACACATCATAGCAAATGCATGAAAATAGAATTCGTTTTAGGAATTTTAAGTCTTTTAAAATTGTTTAACAATGTGAAAACAACCAAATCTGTTGTCTAGATTGTTTGGTCTAAAAAAGTATAAGTACCCTGTACTCGTATAACATGTTGGTATGTTGGATAGGTAAATTCATAACGAATTTAATGGTAAAATAATATACATGGTATTGCATTTGAAAAACTTGAGTAAATTGAATTTAAAATATTTATTACACGTTTTAAAATAAAATAAAATAAAATAAACCAGCTCTATCATCACTATTCGTTAGGTTTATATCTTATAAGTCTGTTTTTTAAACAATTTTAAAATCATTGATAATTTTATGTGGAGTCTGCATCATTCTTTACTTTCACAAAAAAATTAATTGCGACACTCCTGCAATATTTTTTAAAACTATTTTAACGTAAAATACAGTATTACTAGATCATTCTAAAACTGCAATAAAATATACATTTTTATTTTTTAGGCAGGAGCGAAACATCCTGTATAACCAAAAATATTTTTAAAATATACCTTTTTTAAATCCATGTAATTTTGTTTGTGTATATATAACACAAATTGACTTATAGAGCAATTAGGCACTGATGGGACAAATGAGAAATTGAAGCATTTACTTACGGGATCATCATACATTATTTCCAAGTTGTCCTTATTTTTTAAACGTATTAAGATGTCATCTAATATTGCGGTGCCATATTCCCTTTGTTTGAGGAAGAGATTAATGTTACCTTCATTTAACTGAGACGAATACTTTGGATCGATGCGTTTTTCTTCAATTCTTTTGACTACATCTTGGTCCCTTGATTGTAAAAAGAATGATAAATGATCTCCAACAGATAATTTGTATTTAGAATTAATAAATTGATCTATATTTCTTATTTTAGGAGTCAAAAGTGGAGAGGATAGTACACTACTTAACTTAGTCTGGTAGAAAACGTTTATATGACAAGCGTACCATAAAATGAGTAATAAAAATAATTTTGCGTTTACCCTTTTTCTGCAGGTTTGCATTGTTATAAGTAGCTGGTATATTTCAATTACAGATTGTTCAACTGATATTTTAAGGCTAAATTTCCATATTATCACAATTATTAAGTAAGATGTAAGTATAGCTATCAAAACTTCATATGAAAAAATTACTAATAAGTTAGGTATGACTTCTTGCCTCGGAGGCAAGGCAAAATAAATAATTAGATTATGATATGGTATGGAATATTCACACTGATAATTCGGTATCTGATGTCCAAGGACACTTAAGAAACTTGAACCAGTAAAACTATAGTTTTCTAAAAGATAAATCAAATAATTGTAATTTCCACATAGTGTGTTATTTAGGTAATCGTGGTCACTGTTAGCGATTATTTTTGAATTTAAACCTTCATTGATAAAATCTAACAAAGAAGACAGTGAACCTTTCTTTGTAATATTATTAAAATATGGAGGGGGAGCAGACGTTAAAAAACTGAAAACACATCCTTCAAGTCTTCTAAGATTTTTTATATAAAATGGTTTGTTGGAATCCACTTTTTTAAGCTTAAATTTTTGACCGCATTTATTCTCTCTTGCATAAGGAAACCAGGTAAAAAACAAATTTTTGTGATTTACAAAGAGAACTGCATTGTAAATGTAAACTTCCCATAATTTTCTGAATACGTCTATTTTATTAACAAGATCATCAATTATTATTACAAACGTTGCTTTACTTTGCCAATTGCTAGATTTATTAAACTCGTGGAGTGATTCTGAGAATAAATCAAAATTCTTTTCAATAAAAATATATTGATCGTCGCCACTATTTAATAAGTTGTGAAAATTATTGATATTTGTTATCAATCGCTTTGGGATATTCAACACTAATATTGAGGAATCTATATCTTTCTGGCTAGAAATAATGGTACTACTCCTGACATTAAAATTTTTTAAAATAAACTTTGATATATTTAAATTTAACGTAGAAGATAAATTTAGAGTTAAAGTTTGACATTTAAAAATTACACATAATAGAATGATTGAAATAAAGAATTTCATTTTCATTTTTCTTTGCTGTCTACTACGTAATGTTATTTAATTCAACACATTTTCTATTCAAGCAAATTATGTACATATTAAAATTCTTTAGTTACTTATATCTTTTGTTTGTGAACGGATAATGTTACCCAAAATATATAATTTTGGTTGTCTGCGTATATATGTTATTAAATGATAATTTAGCATATGTGCTGTTCTCATGGTTTATAAAGGTAAACCCTTTGAAGGACGCTAAAAGCCGTTTCTCACAAAAAGTTTTTTAAATACATAGATAATAATAAGTGTATACATTTTAGTAATTTTTTTCTATACACCCACATGGATATTAGCTTATCTACGCACATATTTCAAAACGAAAAAATATGCTATTGCCTTCTACTGAACGAATATATTTCATATCCATTCTAGATAGTGAGAACACTGCAAAAAAATTAAATCCACCAATCACCGTTCATATTTTGATCAACCGACTGCTATTATTTTTAAAATTTTTAATAACAATTCTGTCAAACTAATTGTCAGTATATTTTTTAGTTATTGAGATTAAACATGCAATAAAATGGGTTATTCTTGTGTAGAATCGATAAATTTCTGTTTTTATTTCGTCTATAATTATAAATAATTTGTTAATTTAAATAAAACTACATATATATGAAGTCAATTTAATTACGAGTATTAAAGCAACAAAAGTAAAAGAATAGGTGGTCCTGTGTAGAGATGGGCATAATCGAATGATCGTCATAATCGGATACTCGGATGATTAAAATTCGAATTCATCGAGTATTCGAATCATATCATTCGAATGATTTATTATATGCCATCATCAAGGATTGGGTAGGTCAAGATCAATGTGTCAAAAGTAAATATATTAATTAGGCATTCCAAACAAATGAATTACCAGTGGGCAGGTTTGGTATATCTAAAGGTGGCGACATATGGTGTATTCTATCTACTTTACGTAAAATCATGAATAATGGATTACATTTAAATATTTTATGTCAAACACAATATAAATAATATTTAAAAACCCACCTCTACATTTCTTCATAAATTGGCAGGCTTGGCGAGTACTACTTCGAATAAAAATAGCGTCCAAGTTGCAAGACTATGTCGCTACCCCCCTTAAATATACAAGAATTTCCCTATTGTTTGACAGGTCGTTGGAATGCCTAATACTTATCTATCCAATCAGAATGCAGTACATCAACGTCTAAAACGTCATACGTCAATATTTACTTTTATTCAGGGCTGGTATATCTAAGGGGGTCGCGACATAGGAGTCCATTTTGGACGCCATTTTTTTCGAAATAGTAGTCACATAGTAGTCGCCAGGTTTACCAATGTAAGAACAAAAAATCAATGTCATTTTTTAAATGACATTTCCATTATAAAATGCCCATATTTTTTAGGATAAAATATTTCAATTTAATAAATTATTAATCTCAGATGTACATAGAATACGTCGGGAAAAGTAGATCACTTTCAATTTTGTGCTGTTATGGTTTTGTTTATTTTAAAAGGTAATTGAAGAGATGAAGACAATTTTCTTATAGATGATGCATAACAAATTATTGCTCCCTTTTTTAGAGCTCCAGTCCCTTAAGTCTATTTATTTTAGGTCTTTTTAAATTGTTGGTAGGTATTATTCACTTCATTTGTATGTTTTTAGTTAATTTAAATAATTTTGTGTAATATCTTGCGATTTGTTTTCTATACATTTTAGCATGTATTTGTTGTCTACATCTCACAAAGGATGGCTTTGAAATACCTTTACAACAGAGGTACTTTCCTAAAACTGGCCGAAATTTGAAACTGAATACAGTTCTTAGAGAAAATCTCCAGTAAAAAATGTCTACATGCAGAATAACAGTAGTATAGATTAACAAAGCTGACAAAAGAGTTGGACAAACCTTTGTCTAGCTTTTTTAATATTTCAGGACAATAGTGTTAACAGCAGACTACAACAAAAACATCCAAAGTTTAGTAATCAAGCAAAATATTCCGATATCTCCAGAATTATAAAAGTATGAAAACTATAATAGAAAACATGTATGGTTTCAAATAGAAAATTAGCATATCTAGTGAATATTGTATTTAAAGAATATATTTTTATTCAAAACTTTTGTGCTTCTACTCCAATACTAACCATATAGAAGCATATGCATTTTATAGTATTTGCAAGATTCGGATCAAATGTACCCACAATTTATAAAGATTATTAAACTAAAATAAAACATTTCAAATAACACCTGCTTTTATGTTAAATATGTTTTTATTAAACACAAATTAGTCTCAACCACACATTTTTTTTTGTTTTTACTTCTAGTGTAAAAGTGACTACTAATTCAGTCTTTCAAGTTTATTATTTATAGAGACCAGCTACTACAAAATATCTTATTGATAATAACTAATTTCTCTTTAATAATGGTTTTGTCCAACACCTTTTTTACAATTTATCCCAAGCAACACTATGAAAGATTTAAATCCTGGATTTACAGCATTCAGTTTCGAGATGAGTGCAGTTACAATGTAGTTTAAGATATAATTTTCACATGAACACTTATTTACCACAGCACAAACGCATGTAACTTTAAAATAAAGTGGAAACAAATTGCATAATTTGGTATATAAAAAAGTACAAAATGTTTTTAGTTTTAATTCGACATTGGACTACGACTACGAAGAAAACAGTGGGTCATTCCACTTGTACCATATTGACATTATTATGCACGATGCTCGTTCAAACGAACATCAGAAAAGTGTTGCCAACTTAAGCTGACTACTATTTCCCCCCTAGCCTCAGTCACCCCCTCATCCATTTACTGGGTCTATGTCGCGACCCCTTTAGATATACCAGCCCTGCTTTTATTTTTCATGCAACCGTTTTGGTTACGGCGACGGCGCCGGGCGTACTGATTTGAGTGATTGGGTAGTTCTCCAACTTGAGAGATCTATCCAATTAGAACGTGATACGCTAAGAGCGAAGACGCAAATTTTTTTATGTGTATCCTATTTAGGGAAAATAAGCAATTTTGGGAGACTATTCTACTCCCCGTTTTAACAAGTCACCTGGGGACCTATTTTCAGACGATTTCAAATGATTTGTCTCAAGATTTTGATGAGAAATGTCATATTTTAGCGTGAAAATAGTATTTTGAAAGCTAGTAGAATTGAAATTCTTAGGAGAATATTAATTCTCCTTATATCACCAGTTGCGACCAATAAAAATAAACTTTTTTGGTTTTAAAATCAATAATATACATAATTATTAAAAGTTTATATCAAAAAGATCTATAAGAATAGAATTTGGTTAAACTTACATTCTAGTAATAATGTTGTTATGGTCTTTATTTTCCATTCTAAATCATCACAAAATAATTAAAACGCAATACACCACAAAATAAACCCCTTTTTCGAAAGCCATATAAACACACTTCAAGACGTTTAGAATAAATAATTAATATTATGTTCTATTTGTCAATAAAATGATGCATATGCAACTCAGGGGGGGATATCGCGCATGGTGTCATGGCGGCGCTGACGTCATGCGTAGAGTTAGTAGAGCTGGCGCGAAATAAATATCATATGACAGACGCATATTGCAGTAGTTTGTGAGTCGTTTATAGTGATTTATAAGATAATGAACAGATATTTGTATTATATTGTGTTGTAAAATTTGTTCTCTGTGAGTGGCTTTAATGAAAAACATTGAAAAATTGCGGTACGGATGTAATAGTAACAATTAAAGGAAAGGATTCAAGAAAGATATGGTTTTTCGCTTTCCTCGAAAGTAAGAGCTTAGTCAGAAGTAAGAAGTGGCCCAAGGGCGGCTCCAGCAGAGGCCCAGGGGAGCATGCCGTTCCCTAGATTAAAATTCTTAAAATCCATGAGCCTTTTATTAAAAAAATATGCTAAATAGGCAATTCTACCATCCTTCCCAAGAAAATTCGGCATGGAGCAGCCTTTTCAGTGGCTTGTGACCCTGCAGATAAATTTTCATATGTATTCCAAGCACTTTCAACCTTCCAATTATAAGAGAGATGTTAAATCAGAACTTCACATAATGTGAAGTTGTGAATGAACCAGTGTGAATCACATTGGTTAATTCACAACTTGGGACTTCTAAACTGGAGACTCTACCCTTTGAAGGCTAAAAATTTCTCAATATAAGCAAAAATAAAATTGTAAATATCACAAAAAAAAAGAAAATTTCGACTTGTATTTCATGAATGATTTAACAACTGTCAGTGACTAGGTCCAGGAAAAATGCAGCGACATTTTATTTTATTTTTGTATTGTAACAGTTATTTGTATTTGGTACATTTTTTTATGTTTTGCATTATATGAATTTCTGCATTATATTATGGGAATTTTTTTTTCTAATACTTATTTTTATTCAATTGGGTAAAATAATGCAGGTAAATGAGTTGCAAATCCTAGTCAGGTAAAAATTTCCGGCATATCCAGATGTGAAATTGTTACCAGGATCCCCAGTTTCGAGTTGTAAAGATACTCTTTATTTTATTATCCTGGTTTTAAAAAAACTATTCTTTAGAAGTCGAATTTGTATAAACATAATAAATCATTAAAAAAAAAGGTAAAAACTTTTCAAAAAAATTTCTTTTATGTATGTATTTGCATTTATGTTCCTTCATAGTTCTTTCCTTAACTATCCCATAATAATATCCATAGATATTTCATGTAATTTCTAAAATATTATCTTTAATATTCATCAAATTTCTATAAGTTAGCATATATTTTCCTCATACTTCGTTAGTATTTTTAAATTCGCGCCTATACAAACTCTACGCGTGACGCCATGCGCGTGGCCTTCCTATTTTTGACACTGTTGATATCCTACCTTTTATTTTTTATACCATGTATGCAACTAACAATACAAGAGAGTAGTAATTAATATTGGTAGCCTAGATGTCAGTACCAAAACACTATTTTATAAATAATCTAGTCAAAATTAAAAAACATGTACGAAATGCCGCTATGCTCGTCCCGCAAATATTCACTCGTTACATAAAATAAGGCATTTCGTAACTGGTCTCATAAATAGCTGTTATTCTACTGTAAAGTAGGTTATAATATACAAGCATTTAAAAATTTTCTTTGATAGTATTCTTCCTTAAACATTAATACAGACATGGGAAACCTTTTTTGTAGGGTACCGAATAGAAAACTATTTATCAGCTAATAAAAATAGTAGTAAGAATAATAATAATAATAATAATAATAATAATAATAATAATTAAAACAATTTTCGTAGCAAATAGCAGTAACTTAATAATTACTATCGTGAGCTGACGTTAGAGAGAAACAAGATGGACTGTAGATTTTTAGAACTTGTAGAATGTATAAATTTATTGGTGAACTGCTTGATAACTTGTTTTGGAATGTTGAAATTGATTAATTACTTCTGCTAACTTGTTTATTTTAACACTATAAACTTTGCATTGGACTACATAACATTTTTTTTCTACGCCCAGATCAGTAAACGTTAAAAATCGCACTATCAACATTCCTTGTAAATGACATTTAACAATAACATGCACGTAATTAGATCTCATAACATACACGTGCGTTTTGATAAGAAAACTTAAATTTCTTGGTTTAATCAAATTGCAATCAAATTTTTGTCTACGTACGACTTTATTTGGTCTATTTACATAAATTTAGTGATTTAAAAAACATATAAACATTTAGCATTAGCGAGATACATTTTGGATTAAAAGACTGATGCCCCTAAATGTCGGCAACACATTATACAATTTTTCTAATAATATGTCGCGTTTTCTTAGCATGCTATGGAAATAGACGTCATGCCATTTATATTGTCAATTTTTGTAACAAAATATGAATGTATCCGAACATTTTCTTAACTGTACCTACGAATATGTTTGTTAACAGTGAAAGTGATGAAATTATGAGTACTCCACCGGAGATTTTAGAAAAAGCTTAAGCTGCCACACATAATTTATTACCGCTAAAATCCAAAGAAAGGTACGAAATTACCTATCGAAAATTTATGGATTGGCAACACAAGTATAACGTTAAATCCTTTTTGAGAATGTTTTAAGTGGGCGTAGAAAAAGTATAGTACGTTACGCGAGTTGTCAGCCCATTACGCACTCGTGAAATTTACGCACTCGCCGCTGCGCGGTTTCGTGCGTAAAATGTTTCACTTCGTACGTAATGGGTTACTTACAACTCTTGTTACGTAATATACTATTACATAATTGTTTAAAGTTTTATAATTAGTATGTAGGTTTGAAACATCTTTTTTATTTGTTTCAAATAGAGACGACGTGTACGTAAAAGAATAAACAAAATGTGTTACTCTGGTGGAGATTGAAATAAGTCTCTTGGTTTGGTGTGGAAAGATTAGTATTTTTGTGCTTACTGTTGTAATTGGTCTAAGGAACGGATCATATGTTTGGACACTGTTTGTGATTGGTTATTAAGAACGTGACGAGAGAGTTTACCAGATTAGTACGGAGAGAGTTAGAGTGAATGTTGTAACTATTAAATAAACATACATATTTGTTTTTAACGATTTATTTCAACCAAGTCCATATTAGAGCGACTGATATAGATTTATGAGTGTGAAAGGGTTGGCACTTGTATTTAATATGACAGGCTTCACCTAATGTGAAGAAGGGAGTCGTTAGGCGCTGATACGATGAAATTAGAAAAAGGGTTGCTCAGGCGCCAGTTTTGCTAACGCAGTTTACTCAAGAACACTAGAATGTACTCAAAGTAGAATTATAGGAGTAAAATATCTACCAGGCGGTGAGCTACCAGTAGGTTAGAAATGGAAAAATTACTAAACACCCAAAAAACATTAATAATACCTACCCACACCAACATCGATGGCCAAGTTACCTTATGGCAATCATCCTTGAGATACCTCTGAAAGAAAAGTTAGGCAACATTTGAAATGGATAAGATAAACATCAGAAACTTAATGGAATATAATATTTATTACGAACGGTGGCCACAAACTCGGTCGAACATGGGTAAAAATAAATATAAAACAACTAAATAAATACCACTTACGTCTTAAAAAACCTCATGAAACAGTGACCCCTGAAAAGCTACGAGCCCTAACAACTATATGTTCGGACGATGTAAGAAAATTTAAAAAATATATTTATTAGGGTGTTTCATTTTTGAGCAACTTTTTTCTTTCAACTAAAAAACAGGCTTAAAACTTTCAGGAAGGTGAAAAAAGAAGCCTTTAAAAATTTGAGCTCTTAATATTATCATTTAGTGGTGCCTGTTCGTAACTTTCCATTTTCTATCTAAATAACATGGAAAAAAAAATTTTCTTTTTTCTTATTTTTGTAGTTTGACATTTGAGCATTGTTAAAATAAAGTAAAACATTATTTTGGTAGGAAATTGAACGCTCTACAAAAATTTCTAATATATTTTTTTCATAGAGTGAGTCGTTCTGAAGATATTCAAACTTAAAGTTGCAAGACTTTTATTTTATTAAACTAATACTGATTACTTTTTGTCTTAAAAAATAGTTTCAAGAAAACATCATTATTTTCATATAGAAAGAAAATAACGACGCACAGAAGACAAAAATTCAGTGTGAGTCGTTCTGAAGATATTCAAACTTAAAGTTGCAAGACTTTTATTTTATTAAACTAATACTGATGACTTTTTTATGTCTTAAAAATTATTTTTAATCAGAAAACTGGTTTTTGTGCGCTAATCTTTTAAGAAAGTAAAAATAAAAAAAAATACATCTTAGATATTATTTGATTAACTGTTAAACAAAAGTAATTATGAATTAGGTTCAGTAAAATTATTATTTTATAGATTAAAAAAACAACTTTTTAACAATTAGCATACTAAAATTTTGAAACTAATAGATATTTTAATGTCTTATCAGAATTGAATAATGTAACTATATTTGTTGAAGTTTTTTATTACAATTTGGATATTTTCGTCGGTGCTCCTTTACCACTTGTAATAAATATTAAAATTGTTCCTCATCTTTAGTTAGGCATTTATTATATTCTTCTACTAATGCGACGCCACGTCCTGGAACGTCATTGACAACTTTCAATTTTTCGAAAAACTCCAAATTCTCTTGACAACTTTCATTATCTGGCCAAATTAGGACATCTGCATCCAGAAAGTCGTACGGCAAATCAAATTTGTCAAAAAGTTTTAATGATTGTTTTGAAACAAAGTCACTCATATTTTTGTTTAAAAATATTTCTGGTGAATTTTTGTCTTCTGTGCGTCGTTATTTTCTTTCTATATGAAAATAATGATGTTTTCTTGAAAATATTTTTAAGACAAAAAAGTCATCAGTTTAATAAAATAAAAGTCCTAATTTCTTACATTTAAAACTTTAAGTTTGAATATCTTCAGAACGGCTCACTCTATGAAAAAAATATATTGGAACTTTTTGTAGAGCGTTCAATTTCCTACCAAAATAATGTTTCACTTTATTTTTACAATGCTCAAATATCAAGCTACAAATATAAGAAAAAAGAAAAAAAATCCATGTTATTTAGATGGAAAATGGAAAGTTAAGAACAGGCACCACTAAATGATAATATTAAGTGCTCAAATTTTTAGAGGCTTCTTTTTTCACCTTCCTGAAAGTTTTCAGCCTGTTTTTTAGTTGAAAAAAAAAAGTTGCTTTAAAATGATACACCCTAATATTTATGTTTATTTTAAACATTTTTTTTCGATTTTCCTGAGTGAAAAATCAAGTCAAATACTCTTTACTTAACATAAAATCTGATCGTAAAGAAATACTTTTTTATTTTGTATAAACTACATAACAAAATTACGGAATTTGATCAAATTTGCCGACAAATAAATATTCGGACGCTAATCTTTAGGTTTGTTCCAACATAAACCAAATCAGTTTGCGTACTGTCGGGATTCTGCGCAGTCTAGAATTTGTGTTCCAACAAACCTTAGACTCGAAACTGTACAAATACATAGTGTTCCAACACAACGAAAACTAATCACAAACCGATTTGTGTACTGTCAAATCAGTTCCTGGGCACCTATCCTCGACTGGTGCTTTAATCAATGCGAATGCGCATTTACTAAATGCGAATACGTATTTGCTCAAAAGCGTGTTGTAGCTATTCTTCGTCGTTCGAATTTATATTGCGGGTGCGCATTTGACAACGAGTGGGTTTTTGCTCTTCGCATTCAAATGCGAAGGTCCAAAGAGCTTGCGAAGGTCTAACTGGATGCACGTTTTAATATTGCAGTGTTTTTGTTTTGTTTCATAAATTGATCGTGACCTATAGGTATGATGGAAAATATAATTTTTTTAAATATCTTATTACAAATTAGAAGAGGCAAATAATCATCCTCGAAGAGTTTATGATGATGGGAAAGCTCCTATCAGACTTTCTGATCAAGCGTTTATCAGATTGTTTCGGTTAATTATATGTGTCTTTTTACTAATATTTTCCATTTTATAACGCTGCAAACAGTACATCAAAAAACAACCCAAAACCACGACTTCATGCTCAAAACCATTACTCATATTAATATTGCTTCTTTTTTGCGAATAATTTTCACAAAACAAGCGGTGTGAACTTTGAGTCCCCTTTCTAGCAGACAATTTAACATAAATAATCGTCGATCATACATGGTTGCCAAGTTGCCATTCGCATTTATAAAAGAGGATTACGAAGGCACAGATACGAAGGGTTAAGAATACGGTTTCTAATGCGTCTTCGCATTGAACCACTCGCATCTCTTCAAAGCGAGCGCTTAAACGCACTAATCGAGGATAGGTGCCCTGGGTCTGAATAGGAACGAATTGTCAAGACATGTGCAAAGCCGCAATAAACTGAACATATCGTGATTGTAATTATATTATTTGTAACTATTGTCTCTGACAGTTCTGATTTGTATTTGTTAATCGAGTTTACTCTTTATAGTTTTTGTTCATGATCATTTATTTTATTTTGTGGTTTATTATTGTAATAATGCGTCTGTTGAATTTAAAAAATGTGTTCCAACATAATCGGCTTCCGAGTTGAGTCCCAATCCCCGACCAGTACCTGACAAGTTGTCAATTACTAGTCATCGACAGATTGTCAACAATAAGTTTTGGACTGGTTTATGTATTGTTCCAAGATCGTTGTTGGAACAAACCTTATTAGCTTTGAAATCAGTAATTTGGTCAATAACTGTCAGTTAAAGGTTTATCCGTCAAATTTTGATATACATTTTTAAGAAAACGATGCGTGGAGTTGCGACAAACAAAAAACTACGAGAAATTATAATTTCTCAGTACCACAGAGGTAAATCAAAGCAAAAAATTTCAAATGATTTAAATATTGTAAAATCAACGATCGGAGATAATATTAAAAAATATGGAAAGACAGCTAGTGTTGACATTCGTGGTAAAAGTCCAGCAGCGCTATTCCTTACGTCCTTCGCTAATATACGTATACTCAACTTTGCGAAGGGTTCATTTACGCATACTTTCCTAAAATGAGATTCTTGAGACCCCTTCGCATTTACTTGCGAATGTTCTACATTCTCACTTTGGCAACGTTACGATTATATTAAACTGACACGCTAAGCGATAGCATGATACTAATATTTTGTCATGGAATGACAGTTTTCATTATCTGACTGCATTTCGCTCTTCAAAATTTCTTGGAAAATGTTAAATTTGTTAAAAATAATTGGTTCATTTAAAGCACTGCTAATTTCTTCAGGGAATCGGTAGACTAATGTCCGGGAAACTGATACAAATAAACTTCTACAAATGTCCATGATACAGATTCCTGACGCAACAAAAACCCTAAAGCTACTAAAACCTACAAAAGTAACCAAATAAATTAAATAATATGTTAATTTATATTTAATATGAGGCCTCAGATTAGGCGAGAGGGTATTTATTAAAAATTGACACAATTCTTTTGAAATTCTAAATGTACAAACTGATCTTCACTTAAAATATAAAATGAATGAAAAATGTCTCTGCACTGGTATAACCATGGTATAATCGAATCTTCAAGGTTTTTAGTCTAATAACAGTGTCCATTAAAAAAAATCCCTTAAATTAAAAACTAAACATATATGACACAAGTCAATTCATTAAACACACACGCAAATAGTTTGCGATTGATAATACCCACTCATATATTTATGCGAGTACTCGAGTGTCTTGCGTATGATCAAGAATATAGAATTTGCTATTTGGTTCGTAATGTCAGACTTTACGAGTGACCTTGAAAATTGCGAGTGGTCAAGAATAGCGTTGCAGGCCGAACGCGTACTATCACAGAAAGAGAACGCCGTGTTCTGGTAAAGATTTGCAAAACCAACAGAAGGGCTACTCTACGACATACAAGCCCAATGGAATCATGAGGTAAAATTAAATGTCTCTAGGGAATGTTGTAGACAATGGTTGCATAAGTCTGGTTACAGTTTTTATAAAGAAAGTTTGTAATTTTTCGTTTTAACACATAAAAATTAATAATGTTCTGTTACACACATTCCTTATTCGCTCCGTGCGAAGTCATGGAAAGGGAAGCAAAAGCGATACTAGCGCTAGCTGCGGATAATTCGTGCATTTTAGAGGGATATTTTGTAATTTTGGCATATCAAATACACGTATACATTTTACTTTTTTTCAAAAAGTAGGTAAAAACAACACAATAAGCAACCGGAGTTGCTGTGTTGAAAATTGTACAAATACTAGCAAAAAAAAAACAGTGAAACTTATATAACAAATTTCACTAACAAAGTGGAAATTAAATCAAAGAAATAAATGGATAGGTGTACAATAAGAAGAAAAATTACCTTTATTTTTGTGATAATAACAGTAATGCTGGAAATAGTAGACATCAGAAACTAGAAAGTTTTTAAATAAACAATAAATTATCATTTTACGATGTTCTTTAATATCCCTTTATTCTTAAATGTTCATTCAGCAAGGACTAGATTTCAAGATTTCTGCCTTTGATTATAATATTTAGCTGGTATGCAATTTTGTGACTTACTGATCGGAAACCAGTTTTAATCATTCATTCTATGTTTTCTTTAGAACAAAAATGAAAATATAAGTAGTGATCCTTTTTATACATTTTAACTTCACGCTATTATAAATGGTTTCTTCAATGACAACTTATTAGACTCAGGCAACTTCTCATACATTTTCCAGTAAATACTGTTGCCTGCCTATATTTTATTATTGATTTTTAATGATTATACATAATTTTCTTCAATTTAAGCGTGAAAAATATATAATAATAATAAATTAATGTTTTAATTGTTTTATAAATCCATATACTTTTATTAAAACTAACATATATACTTTTTATTTACGAATTCTATTAAAAATTGTATTTGTCAGTATAGGCAGAAATACTCCTTTAATACCAAAACAAATTGGCGCTGCTGTCGCGCACGGAGCGAATAGGCAAAGGAGAAGTCATTACTGACAGCTATTCAAATGAAAAAACGTTTGGATTGGGCAAAATCCAAAATATCCTGGGCGGCTATCCTCGACAATCGCTAAAAAACGAACCGTTTTCGAAAGTGAGTGGTTGAAAAGCGAGTAGTTTCTGAAATCTATATTCTTGACTGACGTTCGATGAGTATTCGTATTTTAAGACGTGTACGTTTTTAACAAGCAAATAATATGTCTGGCATCACTGTAAACTGTCTATATCGTTGAATTCAAGTAATGTGCAGGCCATAAAAGAATAAGAATTATGTAATTTAATTACAACAAACCAATTGTAAATTTGTCGAACGATTATTTTTTCTAATCACATAATGTATATCGATGTTCAGGATAATCTGAATCGTTAATTGTTGGCGTAAAAATAGCTATACGGGTGCAGTTAATGCAACCTATAATTCTAGGAAAATCGTACATAATAAAAACCTAGTTTTTATAGTAAACAATTCATTTAACTAATAACTTTGCTTATCTTATTCAGTTCTTTAATATTTTGTGGCAATTTTACAAAATTGTAAAAATTTCTGGACACAACGTGTGATACAAAAGAGCTTTGAACCGCAAGCATATTAACATTTGTAAATAAAACATACATGAATTAATAATTAAATTCTTACACGGTAAGATATAAAAAATATTCATTCAATATCAGTTAAAATCAAAAACTGGATTCTGCCTCTGCAAGTCTGAATCTTTAAGGATTCTTATCTTCTAAGTTTTCTAATTGTACAATTATTGATAATATAATTGAAAGAAATTCGCAGCTAATGGACTTCTTTAGTACTGCAAACCATATTTATAAGAAATTAGATACTTTTGTAGGTATTAATAAATAGTAGTTTATCTAGAATTTGTTAAAATCAATCAATATTATTAAACGTCCTAAAAGTGACATATAAGTGACATTGACTAAATCCTTGAAAACATGCACGTTTTATCAAAAACGTGTGAAAAATTCCGCTCGCTGTAAAACACCCGTTTTAAAAGCGTACACGCTTTTAAAACGAATGTCGAGAATAGCGAATAGCTCGTATGTTGCTAAAGCGTATACGTTTTTTAGAAAACGATAGCCGAGGATAGGGCCCCTGGACAACGGAAATGTGGAGTAGTCATCTACAGTGATGAATCGAAATTTGATGTATGCGTTGGGGATTTTCGAAAAAGGGTAATTTGTACAAAAACCGAAGATTTTCATAAAGACTGCTTAAAGCGTACTGTAAAATTTCCCAAGGGGGTTATAATATGGGGATGTATGAGTAGTGAAGGGGTTGGCAAATATGAATTCATTGATGGTACTGTAAATGCAGAAAAGTATCAAGAAATTTTATCAAGAAGCTAAATTCCAACAACAGGACAATGTTTTGGAAATGATAGTTTTATCTTTCAACAAGACGGTGCACCCTGCTACGGCGAAAACAACGAAAAAGTGGTTTGGTGACCATAATATAAAAGTTATATCGTGGCCTTCGAGTAGTCCCAACTTGAATGTCATTGAAACGTTATGGCATCAGATGAAGAATTCTTTGCGTAATGATCCTCAGCGTACCGTTCCCGCATTAAAGAAAAAAAAATAACAAATTTGGAATTCTTTCACCCCCGAATATTGTAAGACTTTAGTAAATTCCATGCCAATTAAAGCCGTTATTACCGCAAAAGGTAATAGGTTTGTTCCAACTTCGTGTTTGGTACCGTTCTTGTATCATACCAACATCAATTTATGAACGATGTACTGCGCAAGCCCATCTCTGAATGATTTTGGAATCAAAAATGAGTTGGAACGCTTTTAAAACTGCTGATGGTTTATAAATAGATAAAATAGAAGAGGAAGAAAATTCTAACCAAACTTTTCGAAAAGAAAATAAAAATAAACTAGTTTTCATTTTATAATTATGGATGGATAATTGCTTTTTTATTGTATCATTCTATATTCTATTCTAAATAATTTTGTTTATTATCCTTTCTCAATTTACCATTAATTCTAAATCATCGTCACTAGCATCATCATCATCAAAAAAATCACTGTCTCCTTCTATATCACTCATTTATTTTCCAAATATGATTTATAAACAGTATTTGCTAAATAAAAATGTATATTTTGTTATTATCTACCTATCAAAACATAAAAACGCTGTAAATTTGTAGGTTAAGTTAACTAAAACTAACCTCTATCGGCTCTATCAACATATATCGATCGCTTTGCGCAAGTCAGTTCTAACAGTTCCACAAAAATTTGTGAATCGATATGACGGTACAGAAACGATTCCGGAATCATCCATTTTTTAGTTGGAACGAATTCTGTATCAACCCGCACATCGTACAAATTAAGTTGGAACGCTTGGAGTGTAATACGCATGCGCTGTACCGTTACGGAATGGTTATGTATCAAGTTGGAACAAACCTAATGTTACCTCGTATTAAAGATCGATTAAAGCTATAAAATTAAGGTTGGTCCGAATATTTATTTCTCGGCAAATTTGATCAAATTTCGTTAATTTGTTATGTTGTTTTTAAATAATAAAAAAGTATTTCCTTACGATCAGATTTTATGTTAAGTAAGGAGTATGTGACTTGATTTTTCACTCAGGAAAATCGAAAAAATTGTTTAAAATAAATATCACTATATTTTTTTAATTTTCTTACATCGTCCGAACATATAGTTGTTAGGGCTCGTATTTAACAGTATAAATAGCTTCACGTTGTATTGAATCAAAAATTAAAAAAAAACAACTAAATTAAATGATTAAATACCACTTAAACCTCAAACAAAAAACTCATGAAACTCCTGGGAAAGCCATTTAGCCAGTATAAATAACTCAACGGTGT